AGTTGATTACATCGTGACACTATTTCTAACTTCCCTTAAGTTATATTGCTACCATATGTGTGGTGTGACTATTTATAATTAAGTGTCAACTGTTGCAAATAACCTGCCTGTATATTCATGCTGTTTTCTCAGCCAGGCTTTTGTAGGACGTGGTATGGTTATACATTGTTTGACTTGATGTGAGTACCACACTGGCACTTTGATATCTGTAATATGTACCTTCTTTGATGTCTCTACAAAAAAAAAGATTGACAAAAAAAAAAGCCCAAAGCCTCCTTCTAGATGTCCAATAGATTCAGGTCTGCCAAACTCTCTAAGTGGATCACAATTCACACCTTAATATTTGAAAGATGCCGGAGATATTTTTATTGTGATTGAAAACATGTTTTGTCACTATACACATCTATACTTCATAAAAATAGCTTGTTAATTATCCATAAATACTTAGAAAAGTGCAGTAATAGGGGCGAACACATACTATCAAATTGTCTATATCAAGCATGTCAAACTCAAAGGCTAACAAGGGCCAAATAAACAAGTTTATGTGGGCCGGAAAAAACAAAAACGTAGACCAACACAAACTAAAATTACTTGTATCATTCTCATGCAAACAATATGTAATCCTGGGTAGATATAAATAATTTACTTGAAAGCTTTACCTCAAGTTACTTACTATCTCAGTAGTAATGTCACCATCTGGAGTGTCCTGTCCGCTCGCTTCCTAGTCCCTCTGCAATCTCCAGGCAGAGTAAGATGTGGCTGCACACTCTGCTCCGTGCACTTCTACCTCTCTTCCATCCATGTCTCTCTCCTACCTTCTATCTATGTCTCTAACCATCTCTCTTTTCCCCCTATCACCCATGTCTCTCCCCCATTCATGTCTCTCTCCCCTCCCATCCATATTTATCTCCCCCTTCCATCCATGTCTCTCCCCCATATTTTCCTCCACTCTTCCATCCATGTCTCCCTCTCTCCTCTTCCATCCATGTCTCCCTCCCTTCCATATCTCTCCCCCCACTTCTTCCTCTCCATCCATTCATGTTTCTCCCCCATGTCTCCCTCCCTCTTCCATTCATGTCTCTCCCCCACATCTCCCACCCATATCTCTGCCCCCATGTCACCCTCCCTACCCATTCCATCCATGTCTCTCTTCCCATCCATATCTTCCTTCTCCTTCCATTCATATCTCTCCCACCATATCTTCCTCTCCCTTCCATTCATATCTCCCTCTCCTCCTGCCATTCATATCTCTCCCCCCATATCTCCCTACCTTTCATTCATATCTCCCCCCCATGTCTCCCACCAAACCCATTTCATCCATGTCTCTTCCCATCCATACCTCCCTCCCCTTTCCATTTATATCTCTTTCCCCCCCTTTCATTCATATCTCCCCCACCCCATGTCTCCCTTCAATTCAGATTCAATCCCTCCTTCCCTACTTTCAGGCAGGTGTAGTGCCAGCTCTGCTCTGCCCTATAGCTAGGTACCCCCCCTCCCTTCCCTTTTACCTGACGGAGGAGGGAAGCCTCTCACTCTCCGGTGGTGTGCTGAAAGACTGAGCGCCAGGTGTCACATGACTACCCGGCGCTCCTACAAAGAGCATCTGACAAGTAATTTTTGTGCTCTCTTAACTGGCGCTCCTGATTGGCTGGACTGCAAAGAAGTTCCTTGTGGGCCGCATGCGGCCCATGTATGGCAAGATTGACATGCTTGGTCTATATTATCGCTTATACTCTACCTCTTCCACACTCTGCCTATCTCTTTATCTACAAAGCTATTACACAAATTTCAATCCATCCTACATTCTTACATCTGGAAGAAATGTCCACCATGTCGAATTGCACAGAAGCCTCCACCTCTCACTTGACAAAGGTTGATTGAGAGTGATGGATATCAAATCTAATTATTTATTAGAATGTTGACAATATGGAGAATGTTGAGCAGTAAGATATTACCAGAACCAGCTAAATTATTTTTCATACCAGTGCCCTCGCTCCAGCTGCTGCCCCCCAATCTTCCTATCCAATTCTGGGTTACAGCAAGAATCACTAGAGTACTTCACCTTTTTAATGATAAAGACCTCATAGCAATGCCCACCCTCCTTCAAACATATCCAGCAGAAACCTTTTCATACTTTCACATAAAACATATTCTCCAAAAGGATAAAATGCAATCTCCATCTCCAACCGCTCTAACTCCTTTTCAGAGCCTGTGTTACGGACCACGTCCACGCATCCGACCACTCTCCATGAGGAAAATTTTTTGTTATTCAGATGTTGCTTACTTTGCACTCTTGTATATGTGTCTTCCATGTTGTGCTGATGGTTGATTACTTTTTATTTCAAAAGCAAGCACTTATATTTGTTCTAATAAATGTTATGCTTTTGAAAACAACTTCATCCTTTATCTCTCTCTGTCTGAATTCTAACTAGAGTTGGAGTATATAGTGCGAGTAGTGCTTATATTGTAACAAACGTTGGTATTTCGTATACCCATTCATTCGGTTCCTCCCGAACTGCTAGGTACTCAATGATTATAGCTCGCAGTTCAGGGCGCTGATCTGTACATTCCCAAGAATCAAAGTGCAGCATGAAAATAAATCCAGTGGTTCGTCATTCACATACCCAAACATCAGCCTAGACTTGATGAAGGGTTCAACAGGAATGTTTCATTCAGGCCAGTTGGCCAACTTTTATGCAATTCAAGAGTACAGTGTATACACCCATAAAAACTCCCCAACTCACACACAAAAATCTGAGTCACCATGACTCTCATAAAATACAAAATATGGAAAATACATAATAATGCACATAAAACATATAGGAACCCCCATAAATGTCATGTCACCAGATAGCCTGGATATGAGCACCCAATGTGTTCAAATAGTGCTCAGATCCAACGAATACAGCCAAATCACCACCAGGGTAAAGTTTTGACCGACTGCTCATGAGACGCCTGCCCGAAACAATTCCATAGTTTCTGTGGTAGCGGTCGGTCAATTTCAGGATTTCCAAACTGAACAAAACACGCAGTTACCCTGGCTCATAGGTAGGGTTTGTTCGCCTTGTTCGTGGTAACAAACCTACAGAACAGTGCTCTCTTGGCTTGTCCGTGAAAAGAAGCAGGCGTTGACCACAGGGTCGAGTGTCTGACTTTGAGTTCCAGTTACTCAACGACTGATTCCCGCTGCCTCTTTTCATGCGACAAGATGGCCAGCATGTGTTGTTTGGTTATAACAATGGCAGCCACACAGGGAGAGCACTAATTCCTGTGGTTTTCTTTGAACTTAATGAGCCAGGGGGGGGTTGGTGTTCGGTAGATTTATCTACCGAACTAAGAAAAATAAAGTGAGTAGTTTCGTCACATACTCCTATATTGTGAGTGGGCCTCAGTCCTGCGCTCTGTAAATTTTTATATAGTGTTGATGTACTCCAATAAATTACACCAAACAAATGTATATCAGATATTCATATAGTACATTTTGATTTTTTTTTATGGTACATTTTGATGTGAACTATATGCTACTTGTCATTGTTTAAAGCAAAGTATCTTGGACTTTTCTGTTATTTAGCATTTCCATGTATCTCCGTGGGCTGGAGAGATGTTAGACCATGCAAATTTAAGGATGGGAATAATTTGGGTAATTCACTTGTTGCGCACAATTTTAAAATGTTTTCTTTAACGTTATGAACAGTAAATTTTTGGTGCAGCAGACTGTTTTAGATTATTTTTCAGTATGGTTTACTTATTTTCTTTATGGTTTTCCATATTTTGATCACTGTGTTTAGCTCCAGTTTAGCACTTTATCTTTGTATGTTTAACACTGATCTTGGCAGAGGTTTTCATTTCTTATTAGTCTTGGGAGCCAACCGTCAACCTCTAATATTAATGTAGAGCCATCATAACTAGATATTCTATTTATTCCTGAGAAAAGAGGTGTACAAAACAATTGTGACCGAAAAACACTGAAATATGATGTAAGGATAAAAATAGGACCTAAACATAGATATACGCATAGACAAAGAAAAAAAACCATAATTGGATAGTATGTCTATAACATGGGTCAGCAACTTATGGGATGTGTGCCTCGCACCCACTCAAGGTTGACAGAGCCAAACAGGCTCAGGCCTATTAGGAGTCCCAGTGGGAGTTTAGATATCTGCTAGTGCAAACCGAGTGGTGATTGGTGGTGGTGAGCAACAATCCTCAATTCACGCATTGCAGTACTTCTCAGATGACTTCTTCCTAGCACTTGTGAATGAGAATCCACATCTGAGTAGAGCAGCCGGCAGCCCGCAGCCTGCAGCAGTTATTGCAGTTCCTGCAGTTGATCTGTAATTTGCATGCCCAATCACCATTGGATTCCATGGAAGCCACACACACTGCTAGATATACACAGAGCTGCAGTAGAAGCCTCCCACTCATATATATATAATACAAACAGCCCCCACACAAACACACACAGTCCCCACAAACACAACACTACTGACAATTCACATACATGCGGACAACCCCACAATCAGCCTCTCACATACAGTACTACAAGCAGCCCTATATATACACACACACACACCATCAAACGTGACATATTATCCAGACACACAATTCCACAAGAGGCCCCCATACACAGCCCATATTCATAAGTATCATACACAATGCCACAAACTATTAATGAACATATACAATATAACATCCCATGAACACACAAATACAACGCTACAAAGCAAACTGCAGCCCCCATAAATAACACACGCAGAATGCGGCAACATACACATCTCAATTTATAAAAATAGGACCAGCACGCCAAGAAACATCAAGGTTTTGATTTAGCGTAGTGTTACTAACAGGCAACTTGCAACCCCTGGTCTATATTTACCATGCCTACAAACTGCAAATAACAAAATCACATATCACCAACCCTACTTTTATCGATGATTGCTCATGGTGTCATCTTAGGGTCTCCAATATTCAATATAACTTAATATGAGAGGAAAAACACATTGGTTATAAAAGTTAAACTTTATTATAGGAAATGCACTCACAAATATTACATTTAAAACTCTGACCATATACCATGAATGCAGATTCCATGAGTTACCTCGCCCAAGATGGCAGATCCATTGTGACCCTAGGTCCTATGGTAACCAAAAAAGATAGACAACTGTTTGGATTTAATGAATATCACAATATGGGTGGTGAATTGCTGGTAGACTTTTTCGTTGTGGTTGATTTAATTAATGTCCACATAAGGGATTGTAAATAGTGCATTTTTGTCTTTTCTACCTGACTTGAGTAAACCTTTTTCTTTTGCGCAAATAACTCCCCCTATGAGGCAGGCAGATGAAGTACCTATAAATGTGTAGGGCTCCCCTACAGAGTATTAACTGGAGCTCATCTATCAAACCCAGACATTATGGGGAAAAACACATACATTTGCAGATGTGTCCCCAGTATTGTAATGTCAAAATGGACCAGAAGCTGATTCAGGAAGATGTGTAAACTATACAGTCTGTTTACATTGTATATACCTTTCTAGCAACAATACATTATAATATTAGATACAGCAAATAAAATGCATTAGGAGGTTTCTTTGTCAGGCAGAACAACCAGCTAAATAGATTATTACTGTAAGTTTGGAATCTACATGTTTCTAGGCAACCACACCATTAATGTCACTGAAGTAAAAACAAAGGATTTCACTTGGCCTAATATTTGTTTGGTCTCTCGAGGAAACCCGACATCCAAAACTATCAACAGAAGAATGGCTTTTGTCTTCTCATTGATTTAAGTTACGTTACTCCATAGGTGTTTTGAACTGTAACCTTTCTGAAGCAGGTTTTTCAGGCCTAGCCTTTCATAAAGCTAGGTTAAGTATGATATGCTATTCATAATCTTGTTATTTGACATGACGACTCAGAACAAAACGATAAGAAAAATATAAACATCTCAGCTTAGATCCTTAGAAATCACATTAGAAAGTAGAATTTGACCACCAATCAACATATGTAAGTGCCAATCCATAGTTTCCATGTGCCTACATGTGCCAGGATGGGATCACCACACACGTAAAACTAACTGTGCTTTCTCTCGTAGCTCAACATCACATTGTCATTTACTACTTATAGAAGTATAATTGTCTGCTGATATCTGAGCAAGACTTACATCACATATACTTAAAGGACCACTATAGTGCCAGGAAAACATACTCATTTTCCTGGCACTATAGTGCCCTGAGGGTGCCCCCACCCTCAGGGACCCCCTCCCGCCCGGCTCTGGGGAGAGGAAAGGGGTTAAAACCTTTTTCCAGCGCTGGGCGGAGAGCTCTCCTCCTCCGATCCTCCTCTTCTTCTCCCCGCCGGCTGAATGCGCACGCGCGGCAAGAGCTGCGTGCGCATTCAGCCGGTCACATAGGAAAGCATTCATAATGCTTTCCTATGGACGCTGGCGTGCTCTCACTGTGAAAATCACAGTGAGAAGCACGCAAGCGCCTCTAGCGGCTGTCAATGAGACAGCAGCTAGAGGAAATAGGGGAAGGCTTAACCCATTCATAAACATAGCAGTTTCTCTGAAACTGCTATGTTTATGAAAAAATGGGTTAACCCTAGCTGGACCAGGCACCCAGACCACTTCATTAAGCTGAAGTGGTCTGGGTGCCTAGAGTGGTCCTTTAAAGACAGAAAACCTAAAGACACTACTACAAAATGTAATATTAAGAAATATAATTTAAAGGCATTCTGGGCAGTTTATCGTAGGAGCATGAAAAAAACTTGAGGGATATTTTAAAGTGAGTTGAATTGGGTTCAAAGTGGGCAGGGGTTGGTCAAAAATTTACTTGCTTGCACTAGCACTACCTGCTTATCTTTTGCAGCAAATATAATGAAGAACTATTTTTCTTCTGAGAAATTAGAGTGTTCATTCCATCCTATAATTATCACTATAAATCTTTAAAAAGCACCATTACCATAATAGACATGTGTTCGGCACCATCATAGTCACATAGTCATAGTCACGGTGTTTCTCTTATACCATGGTGCAAAAAATATATATATTTTTCCTTATTGAAGGTGCATTTAAAACATGTTATTTTTTCCTGATTTAACAAAAAGCATAATTACATTGAGTTTTAATAACGTATCAATATATATACAATGCAGGTGTGTGAAGGAATTAAAACACAACATGTACATCATTATAACCAGCTCAAGAGGTACAGAGAGCTGTTGATGCTTAAAGCAAGTTTATCAAACAGTAATCGCCTTATATTGCTGAAAAACTACAACTTCCAAAATGCATTGCAAGCCTATGACTGGCAAAGAATTATGGTAGTGGTAGTCTTAGACCATTTTGAAGGAGGTGGCGAGGTACAGTTTGGCAGCCTTGGCTAATCAGCTTGTTTCTGCATTTTGTGACCCCTATCTTTTTCAAGTCATATCAGTCTAATAATTCAATTAAAATTATAAAAATGAAATGCCAAAAATATCCACATAATGCTCGGAATTATATAAACTGCTCAGAAAATAAACTTCTTGTCAGTTGTTTTACATTCAGTTTAATGTCAAGTATTGTAAAATAAATAGCCTTTTAGAGTTTCAAGACCTTCTCAGTAGCCGAGCCACCGCGTTCATGGCTTCAGCCAATCCTTCTCCAGTGTATGCACTGCAATGGAGAATCTCAAATGCTCTGTCATCATAGTTTTCCAGCTTTAAAAATTGTGTCAGTTCATTCGCAGACAAAGCTCCAGGTAGGTCATGCTTGTTGGCCAAAATTAAAAATGGAACTCCTAACATGTTCTCATTGTTTAAAACAGTCACAAGTTCTGCTGCAGCATCTGGTAGTCTGGGTACATCAGAGCTGTCCACCACAAATATTAAGGCATCCGTATCTTCTAGATACTCCTTCCAATTCGATCTGAGTTTATCTTGACCACCAACATCCCAAATAGTTACAGAAACATTTTTAGCCATTTCTAGGGACTCCACATTGAATCCAACAGTCGGAAAGGTCTCCATAGTTTGATTCATTTTAAGTTTATATAGAATCGTTGATTTTCCAGAAAAGTCCAGTCCCATCATCACAACCCGAGCTTGCTTTTTATGCAAAGGTTTAGAATTTTGACCTCCCATGGTAAAACCTTTAAAGAGACAAAAAAGCGTTAGTATAATCAATCTAATCATTTGAGTGTACGCAAAACACATTATTATTATGTTATTATTTATATAGGGCCAACAAATTCCGCAGCGCTTTACAATGGGTGGACGAACAAACATGTAGTTGTAACCAGACAAGTTTGACACACAGGAACAGAGGACCCTGCTCAATGAGCTTACATGCTAGAGGGAGTGGGGTAAAATGACACAAAAGGTAAGGTTAGTATTAGACTAATGACAATTGCAAGAGAGGAATCAGTCGGGAGCTATTTACAGTTTAATTGATACTCTTTTATGAAGAAGTGAGTTTTTAATGATTTTTTTGAAGGAGTGGAGACTGAGGGAGCATCTAACAGAGGAGGGAAGTGAGTTCCACAGGAACAGTGCAGCCCTGGAGAAGTCTTAAAGGCGAACATCAAAAGTGGGAGTATGGACAGAAGATAGACGTAAGTATGCAGCAGAGCGTAAGGGCCTAGACAGGACATACTTGTGTACTAGGGAAGATAGATAGGTGAGAGCAGCATTATGTAAGATTTGAAAGCAAGAACCAGAATTTGAATTTGCTCCCTATATCTTACAGGATATGTAGGGACTGACAGAACGGTGAGGCGTGGGCGGTGCGGGCTGACGAGCCTTGCCGCCGCATTCATTATGGACTGTAACGGTGCAAGTTGGTAGCACTTAAGACCACTGAGAAGCGGATTATAGTAGTCAAGGCGAGAAAGGACAATGGAATGGACCAGCACCTTAGTCGCATCTGGCGTTAAGTAGGGTCAGATGCGCACAATGTTTTTGAGATGGAAGCGGCAGGATTTGGCAATAGACTGAACATGAGGTGTGAAGGAGAGGTCTGAGTCAAAGAGAACACCTAGGCAGTGAGCCTGCGTGGTGAAGCTGATGTTAGCACCATTGACTTGGAGGGAGACAGACACAGTAGTAGCAACACTTGAGGGAGACCAGAATTTCAGTTTTGGACAGGTTGAGTTTAAGGAAGTGGGCAGCCATCCAGTTAGAAATAGCAGAGAGGCAGTCAGAGACACTAGTCAAGAGGGACGGGGAGAGATCAGGAGAGGAGATTTGCGTGTCATCCGTATAGAAATGATATTGAAAGCCAAAGGAGCTAATGAGTTTACCAAAGGAGGCAGTATAGATGGAGAACAGTAGGGGACCAAGGACTGAACCTTGGGGGTCACAAACAGAGAGGAGTTGGGGAGAAGAAGCAGAGCCAGAGAAAGAAACACTGAAAGAGTGTTGGGAGAGGTAGGAGGAGCACCAGGAGAGAGCAATATCTTGTAGACTGATGTTGCGGAGGATGAGAAGAAGCTGTTGATGATCAACAGTGTCAAAAGCCGCAGAAAGGTCAAAAAGAATTAGGATAGCCTATTTTATTTGAATGGGTGGTAGGTACATGCCTACCAGATGTAGAGTTTTAGACATGCAGATGCAAAATTAAATATAGACAATGAGGTTTATTCAGTAATACCAAAGGGAAATTGACTGAACAGTTTATTCATAAAAATGTGAAATATAGAGAATTAAAAGTAAATCTCACATTTTAGGTCACAATAGCAAAACTGCATAGTCGACTTGCAAAAATTTTCTAATTCTGCTAATGCGGCCTGTAAAGAAGTCTTCATTTGGAATCTTGTACAGCGAGTCAGTACACTGAGGGTGTTTATCGTACAAATTCCTATCGCATGCTAAATTAATTGCTTGCTAGAACACAGCTGCCTCCTGTGTGAGATTAGAGATTAGATCAAGTTCTCACTTAAAGGGATTCTGTGGTGCCAGGTACATGGGACATTGCACCCACACCACTTCAATGAGCTGAATTCTTAAAAGGGTTGCAGACTTGTCAAAGAAACATATTTGTGAACCTGTTTCAGAACAATGTGAGCATTTTATTTTAAATATATATAATGTGTAAAAGATCTAGTATTTAATAATATATACATATTTGTTTTAATATATATTTAACATGTGTTTTTATAGCTTCCAAATATGTTCATCGTGTCCAGTCTACAATACTTTTGTCAATGCACAGGATTGGGTACTGCCCCATGAATAAGGAAGTTGGTGCAAAAAAAAAAAAAGAAGTGGACCAATTCAGCTGCACAACTTGCAGAAGTGGTGGGATTTTAGAGACTTAAGAGATAATATTGAAAAGCAAAAAAAGCATTGTTTTTATTTTAACTGCCTTCAAATGCATTGAAATATATATGCTTACTTTTAAGCTATATCTTATATCATTGCTCCAGAAAGACTGCCTTTTAAAATACACCGGTGCCATTTTGAATGTAATAATGAGAGGCATTCTATTGGTTTCCACGGTGATTAGTCCATATTTACCTCGTTACTCAATAATATCACCTGTTTTTGCCTTGATAAATCTCACAAAGTGTGACTGGAATTAGGTCAAGCAAACGTGTGCATTTTCTGATCACTGACCAGAATTTAAACTTGGCTGCTTTCTGAAGACTGATCAATAAGTCAGAACATTATTTTCTATCTCTACATATTTTTTTTTTAGAAACTGTATTGCTTTTCCTGGCACTATTGACACCCCTCCTTTTTGCCCCTCGCCCTCATACTTCCCTCTGTTGTGCAGAAGGGGTTAAAAACGGTCACTTACCTTTGTCAGGTGCCAATGTCCCTCGATGCTCTCTCTGGTGGGCCTATGCTCCTCCCCCGCCCACGCCAGACGGCGGGGGAGACCTAATGCGCATGCGCGGCAATAACGCTCTCGCATTAGGATTTCCCCATAAACAAGCATTCTACAAAGTTTTCTTATGGTGTTCTGGGTGATGCTGGACGTCCCCATGCATAGCGTAAGAATGTCTAGCATCAGTTAGGTGACCAAAAGTCACTTGACGGCACAGAAGTCCCTTTAGTGGCTGTCTAGTAGACAGCCACTAGAGGTGGAGTTAACCCACCAAGCTAATTATTGCAGTTTCTTAAAAACTGCAATAATTAGCTTTGCAGGGTTAAGGGATCTGGGACAGTGCACCCAGACCACTTTAATGCGCTAAAGTGGTTTGGGTGCCTATAGTGTCCCTTTAAGCAACTGCTTTCTTTGCACAGGACTTGTCGAGTACTTAAAGGCAGAACAGACAATTTCATACTTTTAATATACTTGAATATAGTAATTCACTCATTTTACTATTCATTATACAGAGAATGGTCAAACTGCAAAGGTATGGTTAAAGTAGTCAAGTAGATTGTTCTCACTGAGTATTTTTTATGACAATTGCATGTTTATTAGTGACTTAGTGAATAAACCTCTATAGTTGTATCTCACACTAGTTGGCTTATTTGCTAACACAGAATTTTGCTAAGATTGAATTGAACATGGAATTGCCAAATTTAGGCTAATATAGCACCCATTGCGGAGTAACTGCTCCAGCCTACAAGTTATTTTTTATTTTTATTTCTCAGTAACTTTGTAAATTAGCAGATCATCATTTAGGGTTAATCTGACGAGTACTAGAAAGACGTGTAGTTTTTTTTTTTTTTTTTTTAAAGGGTTAAAGTCCACTGGTCAGCTCACTGCCATACCTTTGTATACAGAATAGGAGGATAGCTATTTGCTTTATCGGGTTGGAATGCAGCCAACAGTAATCCAGTTTTATTGATACATTTTTATTTTTCATAATTAAAGCAGGAAAAAAAACAACAATTTTATAGATATTTTTAATGTCCTTCTTTGAAGTCTTTGTAATTGCCGTGATACTGTGTTTAATCAGATGAAAATGGAATTTTTATTTACCTGTCTATTACTTTATTTGTACACTTAAACTTTGCTGCTTGTTACGGGTAAGTACAATATGTTCCCCATGTCTGTCAGTACACCTGTCAGCTACCCATACAATTTAGAGTCATGCACTCCCCCATAAGGAGGCAGTGGTGTATGCCTTAGGTTGCACCTGCTTGTGGGGTGAAAAGTCCAAGTGTCTGCTGGAAGAGGCCTGTAAACACCCAAGTAAGTACCTCAGCCAGGTGCAGACTGAAAAGTATTCCTTCCATGAGACCATTCAGAGCATTGCCATGGGTTACCACAGAAATGTTCCTAAATTATCACAGAGCTGGAGCTTGTGAGAGGTATGTGGTCAGCCTGCACACAGAGGAGGTGCAGAGAAGAGTCTGTTACTGTACCACTAAGGATCAAAATGTCCTCTCCTCCCCAATGTAAGAATCGGGGAGTGGGGGGGGGGAGTTTCTTTTTTTTAATTATAATAATTATCCGTTAGGCATACGCCTTAAATGCCTAACTCACCCTGACAAAAGAACCCATTTTCCACCCCATACATTCACGCACACACCAAAGCAAATATACACGTACACGCATACACTACATCCCACATACTACATCTATTGCGCAAAACACTTCCACTATATGCAGTACATCCCACATACACACATGTAAAACTCTAATGCACACACTATATCCCTTATGCACACTGCATCTCTTGGACACATCCCATGCACACTAGAGCCCCTAAACACACACACATATACTCTACACCCTCTTTACAGCACCTACACACACTACAGCCTGTAGACACACACACAACTCAACTACATACTCTATATTAACATTACAGTCCCTACACTCACGTACACACTGTATCTATACAGCATATCACAGTTATTAGCCACACATCTCCATGTAAGAGCACTTCAACAGGACTCTACGCACGGAATGTCCTGGCAGAGCATTGAACTAACATGCTCAATTTGGGAAGGTCATGCTTATCTTTGGCGATGACACAACACACACCCCTCTGTTATTTCGGTCTGTCTATCTCTCTATCTAACGGTTTGTCACATAATGCCTCTGTATTCCGAATTGAACTGGTCAGATTGGGCCATAAAGTGTGATTATAGACACAAAAGTTATGTTTAAAGGTTTGTGCTATTTTAAATTCGAAACCAGGTCTATTTTCTTTGGAACCCTTATAGTATTTATTTATAAAATATTTTACCAGGAAAGATACATTGAGATTTCTCTCGTTTTCAAGTATGTCCTGGGTCCACAAAACATTGCATTGATACAATTAGGGTACAATAAAATACAAAAACAATATTAATACACAATAAATACAAAATTTAACATATAACAGGTAGGAAATATATAATCAACCATAACACGTGCATTCTGTAGATATGTAGAGAGGGATCTCTTAAAGGATTTTAGGCCTGGGGGAAGATTTGAAAGTGTGCGGGAAAGTGTACTACAACTACAACACTCCACATTATCTGAAGCTGCTAATCAAATATACCGTAAAATAAATAATATCCTGGCCACAAGCTGCACCAAAGCGGCATGGCAGCCTTGCTACTGTTACATTTTATGGTAACATTGGCAAGAACATCCACCCACAGATGTCAATATATTAATCTTAACTGAGATCCCACGAGAAACGCAAAGACAAGATAATTGGTTTTCAATGCTCACATGGGTAGCACTATTTATGTACAACCTGACAGTATGCGGAACTCATAGCTGTCCAGGAAAATATCTTGTAGATGGCAGCTTCAAAATCAATGTAATGATGTACGTGTCCATAGGGTTTTAACTACTTAACCCTAATTTAAATAAATATGTACCATTATCCTACAGGTATTGTAGTAAATGTTATAGAGCAATTTTTCTTTTCTAAAACTTGTTCTATAACAGGCGTGGGTGAAACATGTATAGAACTCAACGGGTTAAATCCAGTGCACACTATCTGCCTAGCACATGTTAACATGGACATTGCACACCATATGCCTCTTGGACATGTTAATGAGTTAAGAGGGTTATAAATGTGGGCACAGGTGGTAATTGACTATTTATCAGATAACATCTCAAGGCAATGTGTAGTGGGATGGGCGGTGAGAAGGGCTGGGCCCTTGGCTATGTAAGAGGTTCACGCTACAGAAAATGAGAAGAGGCATTCACAAGGGAAAACTGCAAAAAAGCAAACCAATTTATATATATAGGGTTTTTTACTAAAGTGAGAAAAGTAAGAATTCAAAGTGCATTTAAAATATAAGGTTAAAATAGCCAAACATAAAACATTCTCCAAGTCAGATCTGCTTCAAGTTCAGATACTTTGGCTTTAAAATTGGTTTTCATGTTGAATTCCCCAAAATTCTCACTTTAATGCATAATCCTTGTTCCTATTATTAACATGAAGAAATGACCATCACCTTTCATCATTTATAGAAAGAAGCATAAACCGGAAACATGGTAACTTAGAATTGGATTTAAAAGGGAAATGTGAGTAAAATTCACCCCTATTTTTTTATTTCATATACATATATATATTAGTACAGAATAAGGCAAAAATACAATAAAAAATTAAAAACAAAATGTTTCATTCAAAGTTCTGAGGAGACGAATCTGTGGGCAATAAGGAATGTCTCATTCTGTCCTGCAGGGTCTGATCTTTTTCGATAAACTCTTGGTAAGCAGGATTTATGGAATGAGTAGTACGTGACTCCAAAGGAGCAGTTCCACTTATCACACAGGATGATTGGAACTGCTCTATAAATTGATCAGTTTATACACAGCTATCATCACTTCATACACAGTTGTAAACCGGCCTATGTGCATCTATGTCCATGCACAGGCAAGTTCAAACTCCCATTCCATCATGCCTGATTGACAGCTCTGAAGGGCTGGGTTAGAGCTGTAGCAAACTCTTTTACAAATCACTGCAGTCCTTAGCTACTTTCATATCTAAGAGTAGGCAAGGAGTCTCTATGTAAAATGTTTTGATGCTGAGACTCATCTCTATAAACTAGAGTGATGCTGGTATCAGGGCTACCCCTCATAAGTAAACTCCGAAAGCAAAATACATTTTGCAATAGGGATTCTCTATACTCCCCCACTTTTGCAATCTTGCAAAGTTGTGATGATGCTTAGAATAATGTCATTCTTTAGATTAATGTACTTGCCAACAGCCCTGCGTTTGGCGTGGCAGTCATCATTTTCAGTCTCTGTCTCTCTGTCCCAAATTTTATCCTACTTCTTGAATGTGTGTCCTACTTCTTGAATTAAAGGATCACTATAGGGTCATGTATTCCTGACCCTGTAGTGTTAACACCACCATCTAGCCCCCCTGGACCCCTCATGCCTCCATAAATATAGCAAAATCTTACTGTGTTCAAGCCATAAGCTGTATCTCTGCATCCTGTTTGCCTAAAAAAAAAAAAAAAAGCAGTCTGCTGACATCATCAGAAGTGATAGCCTGATCCAATCACAATGCTTCCTCATAGGATTGGCTGAGACTGACAAAGAGACAGATCAGGGGCAGAGCCAGCATGATTCAAACACAGCCCGGCCAATCAGCATCTCCCCATAGAGATGAATTGAATCAATGGATCTCTATGAGGAAAGTTCAGTGTCTGCATGCAGAGGGAGGAGACACAGTGCTGTCCTGTGCTCTGCTGACAGCAGATCTGAGTGGATTGAGGAGTTTTATGCCTCAATCAACTCTGAAGTCCCTCTGGTGGCATTCTGAGTGACTGCAACTGGAGGTGTTCCTAGCTTTCAATGTAAACACTGTATTTTCTCAGAAAATACAGTGTTTACATGAGAAAGGCTGCAGGGAGCTATAGTTCTCACCTGAACAACCTCATTAAGCTGAAGTTGCTCAGGTGACTATAGTGTCCCTTTAACAGAGAAAAGTTGTGATTGAACCAGAAGCCACGTTTCCAAACTGGCTGCGATAACCAAGCGACCTGCCAGCCCCTCCTACAAGCTTTTGATGACAGGTACGCTAGATTTTGGGCAAGATTGGACCAGTAGGCTCTCTGACCCAGACTATAAGCTCCAAGCAGCTTCACAAAATCACAGCATCCAGGGCTTTCTTTGCTCGCAGCCACTTACCTGGACCAAGGGTCTAGCGAAGAAGGTACTGCATGCATGGCTCACAATCCTAGAGGGTTTCTGGTGGTCTACAGTTCAGATAAGCTGCAGATTCCTCCCGCACCTCTATTTTGGGTGCCAAGGGTCACTGGACAAGTGAGCAAGCAATGCAGGCTTATGTTCAGACCTGGGGTTGGTGGCAGGCTTTATTCCTCCCAAGTTTATGTTTCATATGGATCCCTAGCAATCCCTCTGCTATTGTCTTTCCCATTCTCGGCATAGGCTGATTACATGACATCTTTGGTTACTGTGGCCATATTTGCACGTATGTTTGTTCTATATGCTATCCTTATGCCGACAATTATTTGTGACATAAGCAGCATAGTTTAAGCTTGGCTAGATTTACATATTGCTCACCTAGTGCCTAATGATCCAGCTCAAGCCTGTTTATGTGTGTTATTCCTCTTTACTTTTTTATTATTTAAAATGTGCAACCTATTATTTTGTGTGAATTATAACGGAGAATTTATCTTATATTTGACGATACGCCTTCGTGTACCGCCATGTCTATCTCCATGTATGTATCACTGCACCGCAAATTGTAATAAAAAAAAAAAAATGAAACAATTCCCTATAAAATGCAAGGCAAACATGTTACTAAATGCATTCTTGGTTTGCAAGACTATTTTCTGAAATTTAGCATCACTTTCCGTTCGCCAGTCTTGAAAGGCTTTTGGTGATTAAGCGCCATTCTATGCCATTTCATTGGATAATGGGAGTTGGAGAATATTTCCATTAATTTTTTTCCCTTAAACTCGCAATTCCATTGTCAGTTCTCCACAATTCTTAGCTCAGTGAATAAACCCCAGTAGTGATTATTTCAGCTTAAAGAAGACTCTAATGCGTCTGCTAAGTAGCTGAAGTACTGATAGAGCATAGTACTCTTTAGACATAGTTGTACCATTTTATAGAAAGTCATCTGTATCACCATCACCACCTACGGTGAAAATGCCATCACTTAGCTCCAGTTAATAGAACTCCTTCTCAATATTTCTTAATATAAAAGAAAACCAGCCAGAGGGTGATTTTCTCCCTACCTACCTTTATTATATGAGCAGTTCTTCACTGTTAGAAGTGAGTATATCCCAAGTCCACGTCTCTCTCATCCTCGCTGCTAAAGAGCTAGCCACAAGACTGCATTTCACCAGAAAGCAGAAGTGCTCTGCGTACTGCACAATAAAACAGTGTGATCCAGCTCCGGAAGTCCTATTTATTTCTTCTCCAATTAGATCATCCCAAAGACTGAGCTATTTGCATACTGTGTCAGTGCAATGGATTCTCAAGACTCATGTGTCAGACTTTTCCAAACAGGTTTTTCAAAAGACGAAACAATAGCACGGAAAGTTAAACAGAATCAAGGCTATAGGTGACAGTGATGTCGCTGACGAATTTTTCAGTTACACTAACTAAGTACTTAAGCAGTTATGGCCAATAGGAGTTACAATCATCAGCTCAAGCGTAGTTATTCATAGTTATTATAATCACTATGTAATTATAGTTATTATAATCAGGGAATTGCAATTCTAAGTTTTAGTGCTAAAATTAGAAAATTGTTTTTTTAATTGAACTTTTTTTTGGTGATATTAAGATTAGTGTTTAATTTTGGCAAGTTTGTATCCAGCAGATCTATGTCTTAGGTCTGCATTTGGGTTCGTCTGCAAAACTATGTACTGTGGATAGGTGAGAATATTTTTTTTATAAAGGGACTCTATAGGCACCCAGACCACTCTATCTCATTGAAGTGGTCTGGGAGCAGTGTCCCTTTTCTCTTACCCCTGTAATGTAAAACATTACAGTTTTAGAAGAACTATTGAAGTGTTAAGACTGCCTCTAATGGCTGTTTACCAGACAACCAATAGAGGCGCTTCCTGCATTTGTATTGAGTTTAACTCTGTAAAATGACCCTGGACGTCCTTACGCTTTGCATGAGGATGTCCGGCGCCTTCAAAAACCCTGCAGGAAAGCATGATTCAATGCTTTCATATGGGAAGCCCAAGTGCACACACGTAGCTTGCTGCGCATGTGAGCTAGGTTCCTGGATTGCCGTGAGATTGTGGGAGGAGTAGCCTGATCGAGCGCTGAGAGATCTTTATACTGGAATCAGCTAAGTGAAAGAAAGGGGTCTCAACCCTTTCTTGACTGTGAGAGGGGGGGCTGGGAAGAAGGACACTATGGTGTTAGGAATACAGTTTGTTTTTTTGTTTTTTTAAACTATATTTAATGTTAAAAAATGTGGTGGCTGTTTGAGGCCTGAATTGCAAAATCTGGAGATTGTTGAATTGCATTAACAATGTGCGGATTTAGCAGTCCAAGTGGCCCTGTATGCAGCCGAATGGTTTTGCCCTATTCAGTATGGGATTCAGACTTTAGAGAATAACAGCACTAGAAAAGACATAGCAGTGCACTGCTTAATGTAATCTAGAACCCTTCTGGAAACCAATACACATTGCGAAGCACGGTCATAGCATGCATGAAACAGCTTATATGTCTAAGAAAACTTCTGCATTCTGTAATAGCTGACAAGAGAAATGTCTTCATAAACGGAACTGACATAGACAAGGCATGTTGTGAAAGAATCACGGACCACAGATTTCATGGACCACAGATTTCAGGTCCCATTATGTCAAAATGGATACAGGTTTCATGTGGCCCTAGGGCATTAGTGACCTTTTTTGATAGAGATGATATGTTGTCAAACAGGACCCCAAGATAGCATATCTCTGACTTGGGATTTGAGTAACTTTATTAATAAAATGGAGCAATAACTGAATAATACCATAAACCTTTTTTCCAAGCCTTCTTTAAGAACCTCCATTTTCAATGTTTTGAAAGTGATTCTGTTCTGGACCTTCCACATGGGAATTTCTGCTAAACAAACATACAAATGGCCTATTGTCATAATCAGGTCAACTGAAAAAAATATGTAAATTTACGTCTTATTTTTTTTTGTAAATCTGATTTTTATTTTTCCATGCGTATACATAGAAACTCGAGATTCGCAGATCTCTAAAGAAATAGGAAGTACACAAACAATTGTGTGGTGTATCCGAGAACTGGTATCAGGTGACAAATACAGTTATCTGGGCTCGCAGGCCCACCATAATGACGGACACACAGTTCCCTTGTGGTATCGCCTTTGTTTGAGTGTGATTTTTACGTTTACTTTATATATAAAAACCGAACAGTAAGTCTCGCAAGTTTCTTTAACCATAATGATTTCAATAAACATAAACTTATACCGTTTGTATATTGGGAAGGTTTCAAAATGTATGCAAGCCCAGTAGATCGTAGGCTCTGTTTCTGGTTAGTCTCGTGAATCCCGCGAACCTCAGGGAGTCATTGTGAAAGCATATGTTGCCTAGGTTGTGTTTCCCACCTATCACAATCCATTTTAATAATGTTCTAGACCTTGGGTAGTGATATTCCCTGTTCTATAAGTTCCTCCTGGGTCGAGATGGGTTGATGTTCTAAGTCTGTGTGTGTAATTTGTCTTGTTTCATAGTCTGGAGACCCAGGTTACCAGGTATGTCTTAGTGTGTATCTTTAATGCTAAGTGTGTGTATTACAAGCTAGCACAATGAACCTCGTCAAGCTAGAAAGGTGGTAGTCTCGGGTCTTGGCTACTGTCTCAGAGGAGCATTGATTTTTGCAACTGCTTGGTTAACTTTTGTTTACTGCCTGGGGGTCAGCACTCCCCCTAACCCATATGTGCTAGTGTTCGTGTCTGCTTTCATCTATTCTGTTGTAGTCGCGTGGTCTCCGCCACTAAGGTTAGTGTTCATTAATTGATGGTGATACCATGTATCTTTGTGGAGGAACCTGTGTTTCACCTGATTCACCTGTCCTCTCCTCTAAATTGCTGTTGCTGTTGACATAGGGTATGCTGTAGTAGACTTCCTCATTCCCACCGGGGTGCGAGTGGTGCGATGTCTGTAAGGAGAGAGGTGTGTGTTGAGTGGGGGTAAGTCATGATGCGTTGTGAGTGTTATGTGCCGAATCTTCAGCTATGCTCCCTGTGTTTAGATTGTATAATGATATGTGTCACAAAACGCATAAGAGATGGGATCAGTGCCGGGTTGTGGATTTGTTAAGTGTGTTTCATCTACTACAGGTTTAACAAGCTGTGTATCATGTGGTCTGTCCCTCCGACCCCGACTCCCGCCCCCCCCGCCCCGTCATCCCGACAGCCGGCAAAGATAAAACGAGAAGAGAGAGTAGGACAGTGTGGAAAGGTATGGTAATGGGATGTAAGGTATGATCTGTGTTACGCGGGCCCTGTCCCCGCCGACGTCCCTTCTGCGGGCCTGGCGGCATCTCCATCCCGCCTGTATTGGGCTATGTATAGGAACCAGGGAAGCCACATCTCTGCGTGTCTGGTCTCTCGTCCTGTTAGGGAGGCGTGTGTTTCTTCTGCTGCCTGAATGTCTTCTACCCTGTGGATCCATTCTCTTTTAGTGGGTGCTGTATTTTTTTTTCCAGTGTACCGGTATGGTCGCTTTGGCCGCGTTTAGCAGGTGGTGGAGTATTGACTTTTTGTATAGCGGGATTGGTTGCGTCGAGATGTGGAGCAGGGCCAGTTCCGCACTCCAATCCGGTATGTCTCCCAGGATAGTTGTCACCGTGTCCTTGATCATTTCCCAGTATGTGGCTATGCTTCTGCATGTCCACCAGATGTGTGTCAATGTGCCCCTTTCAGCTTGGCATCTCCAGCATGTGGGGGGGGGACCGATGGGAAGATCCGATGCAACAGTGTTGGTGTTCTATACCAAAAACAGAGTAACTTGTAATTCACCTCTTGGTAATATGAGCTCATGGAGCTCTTCGGTTGCCAGAGTAGTGCTTTATACCATTGTGGGATTGTGAATGTTGTCCCTAATTGATCCTCCCATTGTCGCCAGAATGTGTTGGCAATGGTCGTGCCGGCTGTTATTAGGTGTTGATAGAGTGCTGAGATTGCATGTTCTAAAGGGGCGCCACGTTCACAAAGGCTGTATATGTCTCAGACTGTATACACTTCCGTGGCCCACCCTTTAACCCCACCCACCGACATCCTGCTTTACCGGATGCTGTTAGGGGGTATGGCTTTACTTGAAATGTAAAAGTGAGAGATTAGCAGATGGTACGTGTTTTCTTAAAGATTTATCTTGTGAGTTTCCCTCCAGCACCACCTCCAGATACATAACACTTCAGAGGTATAACTTTTAGTGATTTCTGTTTATAAGATTCTGTAATTAGGCTCATCCTAAGTATCAGCACCAGGCCCAATGGGCTCTTAATCCGGCCCTGTTTGGAAGACGTGTACATGCATTCTTTCTAGGGACTTTGCAACACCGCTCTCTTTTAGGAGAGCATTGAGAGCATTGACATTGTTGCTTCTGACTCTCTTAACAAAAGGCTACAGGTAGTACAAAAGTAAATGCTTTGAAGGCTCATGGAGCCACTCACTGCTGGGCAGGTTAGGAAGTGTTAGTATGTAACTTGTCAAGTGCAACTTCAAGATCTAACTTGACTTCAAGTGGCACTTTCACTAACCCCCCTCCGAAAATGTGCATTTGATTAAGCTAAAATCTTTATGAAATATTTACATTGACTGTGTTTGAATTGCATTGATATTCTAACCCTGTCAAAAGATATGATGAGACAAAGCCTGACTCTGCTTGATACTAGGCGGAGCTGCTGCTGTCAATCAGTGTCATTTCCCCCAGCTGTCACCAGGGAGTTTTGTAGGTAAATGTAATCTATCTATGGAGCATCCTGCAGTCTCACATGATAAACCATAGACCTCAATGCTGTACTCTTGAGCATGCACGAGAATTCCTCAGGGACGTTGGCTCCTGGTAGCAGAAGAGGACTGGCCAGAAGAGGATGGCAACTCCTGTAAGGGACAGGACTTTGTCTGCCCCACACACACACTGCACCCCCACACACACTTCTCCCCCATACACACAGTGCTCCCCCCCACACACTTCTCCCCCTTCACACACACTTCTCCCCTTCACACACACTACACCCCCAGACACACAGTGCTCCCTCACACAAACACTGCACCCCCATACACAAACTTCCCCAACTGCACTCCCATACACACACTGCCACTACTACACCCTCATACACACACTGGCCCCATACACACAGTGCTCCCACTGCACCACCATACACACATTGCACCTCTTGCACATGTACTGCATCCCGT